GGCTGCCGAGGGCCCGGCCGCGGCGCTCACGCTGCCCTCCGTCGGGGTGCCCTGCCCCCTCCTGAAAGCGCTCGGCCGAACTTGGCCTCGGTGCCCCGCACCCCCGCCCGTCAGACCCTGCTCGAAGAGCCTGGCTCGCCCCGGAGCCGGAACCAAGAGCAAGCGAAAAAAAAAAAAAAAAAAAGTCTGCTTGGTTTCTCATCAACTGCGGGTATTGCATTGCCCAAACCAGCTACATTTTCCTTCAGGCTCTTCCCCTCCGGCCATGCCCGGGGCCTGCTGACAGTATATGCACTTGGGGGGGTTAGAGCTTCAACAAGCACAGGCTTCAAAGTTTAAACTGCTTCCGCCTCAGTCAGTACTCGATGAGCTCAAGCATGTCTGTAAAGCAAGCGCTGTGTCTTCTCATGCCAAGTTTTATTCTTCAGGCTACTTTAAACAGCAATTTTAATTAATTTTCAAGGTCTGCTTACGCCTGCAACTCATTAACTTCCAGCCTCCAGCTTCTCTGACGTAGTAGATTCACAGTCAGTTACATACACCAGCAAAGTCTGTAACTCCACAGGCATCTTCCATAGCAAAGACTTACCACAGCATATTAAATTGCTTATAATATGCATTTCTTATGTTGTAAATTTTACTTATACTTTTATTATTATACTTACATTGCATTTCTCCACAATTCTATCTATTCTTTCTGTTCTTGGTAACTACTTAGAAATCAATGGATTATCAAACATAATTTCATATCAGACAGTATTTCATGCAACATTTTATTGTAAAAATAATTTAAGATGAGATTTACAGTTCAGACCTCTGTAAGGTTAAGGACATCTTACAAGTGTGTTCTATAAAGCTGTACTGCAACAATTAAGACAAAATCTGGTCTAGCTGTCAATTTGGAAATTCATTGTTACTGGAATCATTGAATGAAACAAAAAAATGTAGCAAAAGCTATTGCTTGGTACTTTTATTCATATGCATGCAGAAAAGCATACTCAGTTTTGAAACAGCACTCCAGACAACTAAGCCTATGCTAGCCAGAAATACTCTAAACTAATGCTAGTTGAACAACTCTGCAATATAGATGTTTAACCATTTAATGGCTGGACATGTTTATGAATGATCTTCTAGGCCCTTCTCTTCATTGGTGCACTCTATATCCTCCATACAGGCAGCTCATTTTGCACCCGCCTGCAGAGACTTCCTTTCATTAGCCGCTTTTTGCTTTTGCTGCATAATTTCAGAGTCTCTGTGAAGAAAGAGTTGCATTTCAGATACTGGCTCAGTGTTTTTTCTAAGTAGTTTCCTCCAGCTTATTCTTGCCCCTTAGCAACCCCAATTTCAAGGGAAAAAAAGAATAGTGTAAGACTCAGTTAGCCACAAGCACCCTGTTTCTATTATACTGTTTGGTTTTTTTTTTCCAGTACAGTACCCCATGAGATAGACAAGTTACTTGATTAGTAGACTTCATATAATTCTTTTAGAAGTAAAGGACACAATGGATCAAACATCTTCAAGAAAGTATTACACAATCTTTTCCTGTTCATACCAGGCAAAAAGCTGCTAAAAAAATTAAAAGCTTTACAGGTCTTACCAGATACAAATCTCCTTAATAGCAGATACAGTAAAACCTACATCCACAGTTTATGCTCTGGCATGTGAATGGACCATGAATCAAGGCAAAGTACTTAAATGCTGTTTCAGTTAAGACACCAGATTCTTTCTGAGTCATTTTCCCTTCCTGTTTTGCACTACCATTTCACTCAACTGTACTAGCTCTTACCTCTGTTTTCTCTGAGAAGCAGACAAGCTATCCTCTTTCCTTTTCCCTTTGTGGATCTCCTGAGTCTTCTTCAGGTTCTTTTGGCGGGCAAGTTCACGCTGGTTCCCACCTGTAACATAATACACAATTGATACAGGTACTACCACTTCTTGCACACAGTTTTCCTGTGTAGGAGTCATCTTATAAAGGTGATAAGGTTTGGCTCAATCTGTAGAGTTGGTACAGCAGCATATTCTGTAGTTGGCCATGTCTTCTATCAGTCTCCCCCTCCAGCACACAGTGAGAGGCATGAAAGCCTGTTAGTTTTCACATTTACATTTCTACAGGTCATGTCCGAGAGATCACCAAAATCCGCTCCAACATTCCTTCCAGAAACGCAGTGCAGTTTCCCATAAGAGACTGAAGGCAGACCATCCCACCAATAGGCCAGGCAAAATGACAACAGTAACTCACCCAAAGAGGAGCCATCCCCTATATCTCCGATTCCAGCATCCAATATAGCTTACAAATTAATTTTAGACCAAAAAACCAGCATTAAAATGAGGGCAGCCAGAGGGAGTTTATACACTTCCTCAAACTCTTCCCAAGGCCCTTTAAGACATCAAACAGCAAATGTCTGGAAGTATTTGGAATCCAGAAACATCCACCTGCATCCATCCACAGCCTGTAGTGCTGTCATATAAGATCACAGACAGATTCCATCACATCCCGTGGTCAAGCACCATGAACTTTTAAAGTTTGCTCATACTTAGTAATAGCAATTAGGGCCCTTACCTGTGTATGTAGAAAGAACACACTTCTGCAGATGCCACTTAGAAGATGACCAGTATAGTTAATACATGTGGGAACCTTGGATTTACTTTTTGCTGGATAAAGTCCCCCAAGCTACTTAACACAGGATTCATAACGTATTATTGGGCGCTCATACCCCAGAAGCTCAGCTGGTGCTACCAAATGCTAAAGATGCCTTACTCTGGAAGCCATGAAAGCAGAGAAGAACACATAGCACACATGCAGCCGTATGTAGGTTTAACTCATTTTTGCTCCAAGGCAGCTGACTTGTATGCAGTACGAGGCTACAGCAGCTACGGAGCTTCAGCCCAAGATTTTGCAATGAGTATTTTCAGCTGTTGAAGGAATTAGCAAACAAGCATTCAGGAAGGTTCCTTCCATGCACTATTATGGGCTTCTGTTCATAGCTTTTTCTCATGCATGCTTTTTAGATTTCACTGTAAACCAGCATCTGTATTTTTCAATCTTCCTCATTTTATGAGTTTCTCTGTGTAGGTATTCCCTTAACTTGACAGCAAAGGCACAGTTACAGTCGTTCTACCTACTTTGCTTGTGACGGACTTTTAGTCCATTCCATTAATTACACTCAAATACTGTTAAAGAAGTGACCTCAAAAGATTTGTTATGTGAAATCAAGCACAGCACTTAAGCATGGCCTTAGCAAGCGCTTAGCCTCACTTTCAAAAGTGGGAAGAGTAATATATATATATATATATAAAAATAAATATAAAAGACACAAAACCACATCACTCTTGCCAGTATACAGGACACCTTTTCAGGGGACAGCCAGCTTTCCCCAGGACTACCAACCCTGTGAACTGCTGTCAAATTAGGCATGCAATCTTTTTGATCAGACAACATTCCTGGCATCAAAACCAGCACAACACAGCTGCTGCTCCGAGCAGATGGAACTCTCCATCTAAATACTCAGGGCCTTACATGCAATGGCCACAGCCATCACAGTTACAAACTATCCTGCATTAGCTGACAATCTTTCCTTAGTATCCACCTCCTTATGGCAGTTCTACTCTGCCATAAGGAGGTGGTTCTACCTGACAGAGCTGGTTCACTTGCTTGGTATTTCTTCTTGCCCTGCTTGTTTTGGAGTCAAAGTGTTCCAGATATGCTAGCTGTAATCACTTCTAATGTTGAACAAATATGATCACATTTTTCTATGCTCAAGAGTGAAAGCTCCATCTCCCCATAATTTCTGTTATTCCCCTGTTCAGTCTCTCTCAAGTCTTAAGACTACCTATGCTGTCTTTCAATCTCAAAGATTGATCTCTCTCCAGTCTTCAGGTGCCTGTAATTTCAGGTATATCGAAATGGTTTAGGAATAGGTCAATTTTAAACAACAACCTGTTGATACAATCCACATCTTTGTGCTCGCCTCATTTCTGAGCTGATAAAGGTACCCACCATGCCAACAAGTAGACAAGAACAACCCTGAAGAATCAGGGGTTCTTTGCATTCTTCACAATACTCGTACTGCCCGGCAAGAGGTGCCAGAAACCCAAATGAAATCAGTGTATTATGACTGCTGCTTCCTAAAGGCTGCTCCTGTCTTGGAAGATATACTTCATCCATGACAGGACATAGAGTACTACCTTTTGAAAAAGCTAGGAGAACTCCCGCTCCATCTTCCTCATTAGCATTCATTGAGATCCTGTCCCCAAAGTCCACGTAGAAGAAGGGCCACTATTTGTTCAGAAACTGAAGTAAAATAGCTATCTATCTCTGGCAGTACTGGTGCTGATTAGAACTTGATGACTCATGAGCAGATGATACATTCCAGGCTATAAATGGTTCTTGAGCTTTGTGCTCAGGAGGCACAAATGCCATATGAACAAGTTAGCAGCAATGAGACAGCTCTTCTGTGGTGCTTAAATAAATGAAGTATCTTCTTTTATCACGAAGAAAGAGAGGCAGGAAGTCAAAACACACTGCTATAGTCAGAATACGTATAGCAGTTATCCTCTACCTTTAACCCTATGCACTTCCTTCCTTTCCAAGCAAACATTCTGCAGAGCATCTGCAGAGTTATTCCGTGCATGTGGTAAGATTGTAAACTTAAGAACCAAACTGAATAGTATCACTGAAAAGCTTGGCTGCCACTTCCACACAGCAAAGCAGAGCGGGTAGAAAAGTGGAGCAATACAGTATGCACACAAGTCACACAGAGCCAAACAACTATTTGAAAAGAAACTTTATCCTACCATCCCTGCTTTAAAGTAAACATTGTCAAGGACTGTTTGGCCCCAGTACTTCACGTGCTTGCTCCACGTGAATTCCTAGCTCCAAGCTGCTTTCTACATTCCATAACACCAGCCTACATCTTCCATGAAGTGTGGTCCAGTCCTGTCAGAAGAAAATTCAGCTTCCTGTAATGTGAAATTCAAGCAAGAACTGCCACATAAAGGCCAATACACCCTTCCTGCTTTTACCTATGCTTGAGCATTCACATCCTTGCCTGCCTCCACAAGATAAATACCTTAGTTCAACCTGCCCCTGCTCTTCCAACTCAAATATCCAGGTATTCTTAAAGAGAAAGATAAGTGAAAGACCTCTCAATAGCACTGGAACAAGCAGTAATCATCTCTACTGTAAGGAGGTCAAAGAGAATGGCAGTAAGAATCGGCTACTGAGGTCATCATCTCTGGAGTTTCTTCTGAGAAGCAAAGGATCCAATTACATGTCAGAACTTAAAGCAGAAGCAAAGGGCCTGCCACCATATCCCAAAAATAGAATGCAAAAGTAAACAGAGCAGTCTGATGCATGCGCAAAGCAATAATGGCAGACAAGTGACAAAAACTCCTTCCAATTCACCTAGTCATCACCATCACAGATTTATTCATTTTTCAGGTACCCTGAAATTTGATAGTGCAACGAGTACCATGAATTTATGAGCTCTGAGGCATAGTAACTGTTAATAAGCAACGCATTTTTATTCTATTTTATTACATGTCCATTTGAAATCAGAGGGTCTAGTCCAGGTCCAATTGATAACAAAGCACTAAACTCTGGAAACATGTCCTAAAGCTAACATTAGACTCTGCGGTAGCACACCACAACTTCTACACAGCCAGTATTTCGATACTGTATTAAACTAGGTCATCCTAAAATGAAATGTTATGATTCTGCTATGCTCAGGTGTGGGATGCTGTACCACTTTTTAAACTTAAGCTATGTTTACTTTAGCATCATGCAGAACAGGGGAAAAATATCCACAAAAGCCATAAACGTGCTTCTTCCTCACATTCAAGGTCTGATCTGCACACAAACTGCTTATGGTCCAGGTCTTCATCTGCGCTTCCAGCAGTACAGTGGCTTCAAAGGTATGTATTTTTAAGCGTGAATGTAAAAGCAACACCTCAGTTAAACACTGGCAGTTTCTGTATCGCCAAGTACAATATGCAGAAGCCAAAAGAGCAACCCCACCCGTTAGGCGAGCCACAATATCCTAGGTATGGTTCACAGTTCTCCACCATTTTATAGTAGATACACCAAAGCTGTTTTCGAATAAGGTGATTCCAGCAAGTCCCGTTGCCCTTTCAACGACAGCCTTAACAACCACCATTCAAGCAACGTAGTATTAAGCATTCCGCAGTGTTATAAAAGCCCTTTATTTACGGACTGGACGGTAGCCAGGCCTGCAACTGTGCGTTGCTGTTGTTCAAGCAAATCACCACCCTTCCTCCTCCTGCCCGCCTCCCAGCACAGCTACGCCGCGGGACGGGTGAAGGTGGTTTTGCTTCAAGCCTAGGGCAGCAGCAGGATGGGGGAAGCCTCGGCCCCAGCGACCCACACGCTCGCCGTGGCATTTCGCCACGGGGACCACTAGGACCAAGACCTAGTGGCAGCGGCACCACGCGGCAGCCGACCCGCGCCCCGCCCCGCCTTCCAACGCCGCC